TGATAACAATAAGTACCTCACAGGCAATATAACATGTGCTTTATTTTGTGAGCTATATCATTTTATATTTTGTTATTCTAACTGAATACAATTCCCAAAACCCAACTAAGTGACTATTCAGATAAGCTTAAAAACATGGGCTTATCAACACATCTAAGAGAGCTCATTTAATTCCGCAGCATGAAAAAGTCTTACCACTTCCATATCCCACATTCCAAGAACAATTCCTGATATAAGAATATATTCACTAAATATTTGTTGAACTAATTAGGGAATAGATTCTTAAACAGTATGAAGAAAAGATGAGGAATGAATAAGATAATGAGATAAGAACGTTTCTCTAAAGATACACTATCAGAGTGCAAATGCCAGATCTACTACTTCCTAGCTATATGACCTTGGACAAGTGACTCGACTCTCTTGATCTGCTGATTTTTGATCTCTCGGAAGTGTGTCATAGGGCTTTATGAGGAAAAATAAATGGATTTGTGCATACAAAATACTTAGAAATGCCCACAAAACAATAGCAAATTATATATTACTAAAGTAATACTTTAGATTTCAGCAAATAAATTGTTACTATAAATGATAGCTTCTTACAAATACTTCTATATTTTATTATTTGTTACCCATGGTATTTCAAGTACAATGTTTGACGTGAATAAATTATATGGAAATGTACCTATAACTTTATACTACTGTGATCTCAGAAACAGACTAGGCAATTCAAATATAGTTGCCATAGACTGAATTGTGTGCCCCCCCAAAATATGTGTCATCTTGGCTAGGCCATAGTTCCCAGTATTGTGTGACTGTCCTCCGTTTTGTGATCTGATGCAAGTACCTTCCATTTTGTGATGTGTTGTAAATCCTAACCTCTGTCTGTGGTTAATGAGGCAGGATTAGAGTTAAAGAGGATTAGGTTATGTTTGTTATGTTAATGGAGCAGGATTAGGGTGGGATGCATCACCCTTACTTAAGTCACCGCCCTTACTCAGGTCACAGCCCTGATTCAATGTAAGGGGAGTTTCCCTGAGGTGTGGCCTGAATCACCTTTTATTTTACAAGAGATAAAAAAGAGTGAAAAGTGAGCATAGAGAGAGGGACCAAGAAAGAAGAGCTGGGAGTGGGGTGCATCCTTTGTAACAGGGTCCCGGAACTGAGAACCTCCTAGACCCAGGGAAAGATTGATGCCAAGACACAGGGAGATCTCCAAAGGACTCTGGGCCCACAGATGCTGAAAGCAGACAAGGACCTTTCCCCAGAGGCAACAAAGAGAGAAAGCCTTCTCCTAGAACTGGCACCCTGACTTTGGACTTCCAGCCTCCTAAAAAACTGTGAGAATAAATTTGTTTGTTAATGCCATCCTTTGGTGGTATTTCTGTTACAGTGGTGCTAGTTAACTAAGACAATAGTTCCTTAAGATAGAAAATGATAAACATAATGAAGTAAAGTATGCTTTACTGTTTAATTCACATAATAATTTAATTTAAAACTCCTTATAATTCTACACTAACCCCTCTTAGAAAAATACATTCTATGGGCAGCAAGGGGCAGGGAAAGTAAACAGAAGAAGCAAACAACCTTATTAATCACCAAAGTCATTTCACAAGAATATGCAATTTGGCTTTCACAAAAAAATGATTGAAAGCATATTTAATGTTTAAAATAAAATAATTTAAAACATTATTTAATTCATGATGAATAAAATTCTGTTTAAAAATAATACTGAAATACTTCAAACATAAATAATAATAAATAAGTAAAGAATACAAAACAGTTATGACCCAGAACTAAGATAAAATGTTTTGCCATGTGTACACCAGACTGTTCTCTTAAAAAAAAAAAAGCAAGTGTTGCACATGCACCAAATACAGATGATTCTCTTTTTCTTTTCTTCCAGCAGTAGAAACTCTCCCCAAGGTAGTGTTCATGTTTTCTATCAAGAGTTTTGCCTTTAGGTTACGTATATACTATAAACACATACCAATATACTATTCCATGTTTTAATGTTTTGCACAAATTCTATCTTAAAAACATTTTTAGATTTTTAATAGTTCATTCAATTTTAGATTTTGATATTTTTATGGATTTATCTTAAGGACATACTTATAATCTGACCACTTCATTTCCTAATATAGGGCTGGAACATGAGCCCTTTTAGTTTAAAAGGTAACAATAGACTGAACATGATGATAACCATGAAAACGCTGTAGTCCTGGGCAGTGTTTTGTTCTGTTGTCTGGAGGGTCACCATGAGTCAGAGCCAGCTCGTGGTAACTAACACAACAAGGTGGTAAAGAGCGTAACTATAGTTTGTGTATCCCAAGGCTATATCCCAAAATACATTGAGAATGTCAAGGACGCTGATGTCATATAGATTCGGGCTGGGTTCAAATTCTGGCTCTTAATGTACATAGGCTACCTGTGGTGATAATGAGGATTAAATGAAGTTTGTTTGTGAATGACTCATCACAATGACTGGTGATATGATACACAGTACACTGTTTCTACTCATAAAAATATTTTGCAAGAAATCATAGTTCATAAGAAAAGATTTTCCAAGTACATCAAAGACACAAGGGATAGAGATTAGTCCACAGGGCTGGACTAATGGACCATAACTACCATAACCTTCAGCAGACTGAGCCCAGAACAACTAGATGGTGCCAAGCCACCACCACTGACTGCTCTGACAAGGATCACAACAGAGCGTCCCAGACAGAGAGGGAAAAAAATGTAGAACAAAATTAGAAATTCACATATACACATAAAAAAGACCAGACTTGCTGGTCTGACAGAGACTGGAGAAACTCTAAGAGTACGGTCCCTGGACACCCTTTTAACTCAGTACTGAAGTCACTCCCGAGGTTTACCCTTCAACCAAAGATTACACAGGTCTACAGGGCAAACAATAACACACGTGAGAATGCTTCATAGTTCAGTCATGTATAAGAGACTAAATAGGCATACCATCCCAAAAGCAAAGACCAGCAGTCAGGAAGGGACAGGAAAACTGGATGAATGGAAACAGGGAACCCAGTACGGAGAAAAGTGTTGACACATTGTGGAGTTGGCAATCAATGTTACAAAAAAATTCATGTATTTATTGTTTAATGAGAAACTAATTTGCTCTGTAAACTTTCACCTAAAGCACAATCTAAAAAAAAAGAAAGAAAAAACTTTGCATGCATTTTGATGGCATTTCTTATCAGCTGCTAAGTCTGTATAAGTCTGTATATGGAGAAAAGATGGTGTCGTCTTTGAAGCTGAACCATAATAGAGGCATAATTTAAAAAATATATATATATAAGATTTGCTGAATATAGAGCTTAAGATTATGAAGGTTTATTTAGTACTTTATGAAAGAACTGCAATCAAGGCAATTCTTGATATTACTAACCCATTGCATGTATGTGTGCGTCTATACCCACATGCTCAGGGGGTGGGGTAGTGTAATTAACAAAGCCCTGTACCTCTCCTCTATAGAAGTTTCTTTGGTATCCACATTTTTTTTTTGTTTTTACTATATCATGCCTGTGGTGGTTTCTTTCCATTACCTAACTGCCCCCCTACCCAAGTTTTCCCCTTGTCTCCTCAACAAAACTAATGACATACCAAAGAATCCCTTTCAACTACGAAACACATTCTCCCTGAGGGGAGTTCTGGTAAATAAGATGTTCTCCACCTCATTGCCTTTCAGTGATGTTTTGACGCCTCTTATGGATTGCATCCCTGGGCAACTGTCCAGCTGAGCTGTCCCATAATCTGTCTCTGGTTGCTTTTTTTTGAAGATAGAATGCTTCATTCTGTTATTAGTCAGCAAAGAGACACTTCTTGTTGAATTAATGTAAGTAAACTTGCTATCACGGATTGAGCTTATCATCCATGATGTTCTTTAAATAACTCTGGAAGAAAAACAATCTCTTCTTTGAGTCTTTTATCCTCCTTGAGTTTTTAAGCAGTTGTACTTCATGATGGATTCTTGGAGTAAATCAGTTATGGAGTGGCCTGGTGTTCTTAAATATTTCACTGTTTTGAAAAGTGTTAAAGAAATTAATTCCCTGCCTTTTAGAATTTAGGTGGTTAAAGTTTTTTTCTATTCTAAAATATTGACTAATATAAATTCAATAAGGACAAAAATGGTAACAGTCAGCAACTGATATACTTCCTACCAAATTAGCCTATTTTATGTATCAAATACATCAAGGTAAAATATAATTGAGTGAAGATAAGAGGAGACAATAAATTACATACATAAATACAATCTATCACAGTATTTCCACTGTTTAATGGCAGAAAGGCCAATTATTTTCTATGCCCACATCTAAGACAGATTACTAACGTGAGCTTTTGACTTTATAAATAAAAATTAGCCAGCACATCTAACACATGAATGCTGTTGTTCCGTGCTGGCCAGTCGATTCCCAGTCGTTGCGGCCCTATATGACAAACAGAACTGACCCATAGGGTTTCCTAAGCTATAATCTTTATGGAAGTTCTACTCTGTCATATAGGGTAGCTGTGAGTGGGAATCAATTTGATTGCACACAGTAACAATGATCTTTATGGAAGCAGATCGCTAAGGTTTTTATCCTGAGGAGGCCGTGGTGGGTTTGAACCTCCAACCCTTCAGGTTAGCAGCCCAGTGGTTAACCAACATACCACCAGGGCTCCTTGACTCAAGTACTTCCCACATATTGCTGAGAAATCCCTCAGAAGGCTGTGCTCTGGAGAGGTTCCTCAGGATCTTCTATTGCCACTTTCTCACCATAGTAACGTGTTGCTGTCTTTTGTTTGGAGAGTGAAAAAAAAAGTGGTAAGCACAGTTTTTTGAGCACAGCAGTCCTCTACTAATGTCTGCCACGCTCCTTGCTCCCTCTCTTCTATTCTCTAGTGAAAAGCTATTACTCAGTCTTTGTCTATTTCTAACTTTTCAGTGCAGAGCAGAGAGCCAGAGCTTTTATGACTGCAGGCTATAACAAAATGGAATTACATACGAACAGCCTCTGCAATGACGCAGGCACTTGTATATGGATCACTTCCATGACTAGCTATCAGTCTCCCTGATCTTCTTCTCTGGCCCTTCCTTACATGACCAGGATCAGCTCCCCCCATCACCAGATGTATCATCATGCTTTATAGCCCAAGCTAAACCCACTGGGAAAAGGGAATCAATTCCCTCCTAACCTAGGGCTCATTACCTATGTCCTCATTTTATGCTCTCAAAGTCATCTCTTAATAGCATCCTGAGAGTAGAAATGTCAAGGTGTCAATAACGTAATTACATGCACCTCCAACATCAATATATTTCCCAGACTCAGAATTATTTTTATATTAAACCACAATGTAGAAGAGGCATCCATTCACCAGTCTAGGTTGGGGAAAGTTGGGTTAAACAAAAAGATACTGCTTAAGCCCCTCTAATTAAGGTAAACAACTCAGAGTCCAATCTCCACCAGGTTTGCTTTACTAAACATAAAACACAAAACAAAGAGAACATGTTATAAATGTAGCCAGATAATTTTATGTTGAATATAAAACCTTACTGAGCATGAGATGAAATGATGCAATGAGAAAACTATGCTGAGAATTTTAAGAACTCAATATCTACTTATTTGTGGGTGTCCATAAACTAAACTACCCAAGAGAATATTCAAGGACTTTTTTTTCTTAAGGCCTATTGTATAATAATCTTGACATAGGTATTACCACTTTTTCAATTGTTCAAATTATTTTATAATCAGAATCTGATCTATCATTAAACATACCCATTAAATACAGCACTGAAATTTATAATCATATACAGTTTACCATAAAGAACTAAAATAAAATGATGTTAAGTATTTTACCCAAGGTCATCTTAACATTTTAAAAATGGACTAGGAAGCATATTACGGTATTTAGTGTATGTCTGCCCACCAGGGCTCTTAACATTACAAAGTCTTCTAATTGGTATTAATATTACAACAGAGACATCCATTCCAGCCTCCCCTGCTGCTTAGTACAGATTGCATTTTATTAGTCTGAAGACATTTAAATGGTTTGAAGTGATAATTAAAATGTTCCTTTAATATGTTCTATTTTATTCATTGTCAACTGATTCAAGGTCACATACTATTGTCCAGTATTACATTTCACACTTTAAACGTTTTTCTACTCCAATTTACATACTTGGAAATGTTTATAGCTTGGTCTATTTTCAATATATCTAAGAAAATTCCACTTAGCTACTAATTGTAATTAACTTCAAAGGGACTTATAATCTAACACAGCATTTCGATTAATTTTGTGACTCAAGTTCATAGTCACAAAAAATTAATAATGTATTAAGTAGAGTTATTCATAATTCATATGCACAGTTTTGCTTTAAGTATTTAACTTGGAAACACTGACATGCATACCTTTCTTAAGGAACCAATATTAAATAGCACAACTAACACGATTTATTATTGCTTTTTGCTTAATTCTTCTTCTTGATAAGGCATATTAAAAAAAAGGACTTAACTGCATTTCTTCAACTATAATGATTTAGTAGTCAGCCAATTTCTATGAACATGAGTAATTTTATATTTTACCTGTTTTGTTGGTTGCTTCTTATACTGATTGGCTTAGCTGTCTGCCCTCACATACTCTCAATTTCCTATCTGCTGACCAATCCACCCCCTATCCTTGATCCTGGAATGGGAAAATGGAAGGAGTACCTGGATAAACCCATAGAATCCACAGTTCAAGTGCACAGTTGCAGATGATAGATGTTTATGGCCTGTTCCTAATAACCAGGTGCTTATTCAGTTCCCTGTGGGCAAGCCTCACATTAAGCTCTAGTTCAAATAGCTGGGCTCAAGGTATGCTCCGTTGTGCTAGAATCCCAGTGTGATTCCCTGCTTGGCATGATAGATTCAATAGAATGCCTTTAACTGCCTTCAACCAATGTAGTTTTATCTCTCAACCCTTGTCCTAATGGCTGGTCATAGAAAACTGGGCAAGGATATAGTCAAACAGACAACATCTGGAATGAACAACACTACATCATCTTGACTCCCAAAATTCACCTTTATACACATTCCTCCTCACTGCTTATATTTAAGTTCAAAATTACTAAAGCATTCCTCAGTTAATAAGACAGTTTGTGTTTTAACATAATCATGCTCTGATTCACCTGTGCTGGTGGCGCAGTGGTTAAGAGCTCAGGCTGCTAACCAAAAGGTCAGCAGTTTCAGTCCACCAGCCACTCTGTGGAAACCCTATGGGGCAGTTCTACTCTGTCCTACAGGGTCACTATGAGTCAGAACCAACACGATAGTAATAGTTTTTTGGTTTATGTGCTATAAGTATCCAAACAAATGTGACTATATGCTCTCTAAGATGTGTTGTTCTGTTTCATATATTTTAATATTCAATAATAATCACAGTGCATATACATGTATATATGTGTGTTTTTTCAGTTTTCTAAAGGTAATGTGCAATTCTGAGAGATTCCCACAAATATGATTTTGGTTTGTTTAAATATTGATAAATAACTTTAAATTGTAAAGAAATATCAGCTATCTCCTCATACACGTGCAAATTATTCCCTCATAATTTTTAATAAAATTGCATTTAATATCTGTGATGGTCTGAATTTATTGTAAATATTATAAATACCAAACCAAGAAGTCTTCTATATTATCCCATTGACTTCCCACTAAATGAATCAAATCTTTCATTTTTTTACTGAGTAAGCATTACAAAATTAGTTGCAATATCTCCAGTTTATGTATTGATTAACCAAGGCACATATGTAAGCTATCCTGAATTCCAAATGGGTAAAAAAAAAAAAAAGGGAGAGAAGATTACTAAGCACGTAATTTTATGTTGCAGAAGCACATAACAACAGTTGTAGCATGGAGTCTTCAAATATCATCACTTATTGAGAAGTAAAATTCTTAAGGCTTTGTTTGTATGTGCGCATGTATCACAAGAATTAACTGGGAGTGGTATGTGTTACATTATTCTCAATGTTCAAACTTAATAGGATTAGGTGAACAAGAAGTAGATAAACTTTACTCTTGGTATTTGTGTATGTATGCATAAATGTTGTAGAAACTTCCACCAACTAGCTTGAATATTTATTATTAGAGAGAATAAAATATGCACCTAGAAGAAGAACTTAAACAAAGGTGGTAAAAAAAAAAAAAAAAGGGATAGAATGTGGAAGTACTATTATTAAAGGTGAAGTTTCATAATAATGTAGGAATTGTAGTCACAAGAGTGATAGCAGTTCCTTGTTGTGCTTATAACCCCAAAAAGCAATTAAGAAAAATCTTTGCCAGATGGCTGTATGCAATAATATGAATAAATTGGCAACTGTCCAATTTTTATAAAATATTTTAATAGATATTAGACAGCAGAAGTATCACCAGTTTGAGACAGGTTATTTAAAATAAAGTGGACAGTTTCATTTCAGTCCATGCAAATATTCATGGGAGAACCTACGGGGTGGTGTTAACCTGAGTGCTAAGGCTGGATGATTCTTTGTCAGAATATTGGCTTGAACCCAGATCTGATTTCCAGCTTATCCTTCTTTCCAGCCCAAGTTTGAAAATGTTAGTTTTGAAAAAAAATAATGAACAAAACAAGCTTTCAAAGAAATCTCTTCATCCTGATTAATTTTTATAAATTATGCAGCACAAGAATACAGAGTACGTGTTTAGCATCAAGTATAACAAAACTATTGGAAATATTAAAGAAAAAAATACGGCTGTTAGAAATAATTTCAGCAATAACTATTTTCGACACGATAAATATTCCCTTTATGATTTTATTACATTGGTGTAACTCTCTATGAATGGTTGTAGTGCCTAGATGCTGATAGTACTAGATATAGAAGTCAGAGAAATAAGATAACATTGTAAGAATCAGTGAAGACAACAGTAGAATAGCTTTTAGATGAGAGTTCTGATTCAGTAAATACACAAATGTCAAAAGTTGAGATTTAGCACATGCAGTAACCAGAGATAAAAGCAGGCAGGTATATCAAGAGATACTTGTTTATACCCAATAGACACTTGTTTAATGAATGAATGACTTCCAATGTTAACTAAGACGTGGAATATTCTGCAATAATATCAAAACCTTTTCTTTAATCATAAGAATCATAATGGGTAGAAGTGAACTGATTTCAAAGTGACATAGCCCAAAGGAAGAACTCATACGAAAATCACATATAAAATAAATGTCTAGTAAACTTAATTGCTATGTAAGTCTCTGCAGTCATAAATCGACCAATTCTGAACACAAGTGATAGAAAATAAACCAATACCTACACATACTCAAAAGTCATCTGGAAAACCCTTAAGTCTAAGGTGTCTCAAATACTGATTATTCTAAGTGATAATCACTTGCGTCACCCCAAACTCGTGTCTATTCTAGCACTTTGGCAGAAAAGCTGCTTCTGCTACAGTTTTGTACTCCTTCATTCATCAAATACTGATTGAGCATCTACCACGTGTTAGGAAATGTGGTAGACACTGGGGAAACAAGAATGTATAAGGTAAAACATGTGCCTCCGCCCCGAAGAAATAAGACTACTGGGAGATTTTAAGACAAGTTTGAAACTCATTTACACTGAGATCATTACTGTATACATGAAATGATAACTCAAAACAACACTGAGTTGGCAAAAATAAATGCCGCTAAGTCCATGCATGAGAAGTTTGTGCAGTTTACTCTTAAGAACTCTCAGAAACTGTATGTTATGGGTTGAATCGTGTCCCCCAAAATGTGTGTCAACTTGGCTAGGCCACTATTCCCAGTATTGTGTGATCGTCCGCCATTTTGTCATCTGATGTGATTTTCCTATGTGTTATAAATCCTAGCCTCTGTGATGTTAATGAGGCAGGATTAGAGGCAGTTATGTTAATAAGGCAGGACACAATCTACAGGATTAGGCTGTATCTTGCAGAGAGAGCAGAGAGAAGAGGGACCTCATGCCATCAAGAAAGAAGTGCTAGGAGCGGAGTCTGTCCTTCTGATCCAGGGTCCCTGTGCTGAGAAGCTCCTAGACCAGGGCAAGATTGATGACAAGGACCTTCCCCCAGAGCCAATACAGAGAGAAAGCCTTCCCCTGGAGCTGG